TTTGTTGTGCTTTTGCTTTTCTTCCTTTAGAGAGATTTTTGCTACAGGGCACATGCGCTCTCGAGAGAGAGACAGAAAGAGAGAAATCACCCCCCAGGGGGATGGCCACCCTGCAATCCTTTCTCCTCCCTTTGCTTCTTGGGATTTGGGGCACATATGAATACATGCCCGGTGTGAGTTTTAAGCCACTGGATCTGGGACTCAAATTGTGGTCGACTGTGTGGGAGTCCAGCAACTCACCGCTATGCCATCTGCTGTCCCTATTTGCTGTGTTTTTCAAGTTACTGGATCCGGGACTGGAACCATGGTCAGCCATGTGGGAGTCCAATGCCTTAACCTCCATGCCACCTGCTGGTCCCCCTACACGTGTTTCTTCAGCCTAAACTTCACCTGGAGTTTCGACAGGCTAAAAATATGTATTTGTATGTTTTACTTTTAGAGCAGGCACCCTGTCTATGTTCTGAACATTAATACCTAACTTTATGGAGCCAATCCTGGTTCCAAGTATATTAGATGTAGCATCACCTCCAAGACCACCTGGCTAGGATATAGCAGAGCTGGGAGGCAAACCTGTCACGGCTCATGTCCTCAACTACAAATTGCATTACCTTATGGTGCCCAGCTGGGCACCGTGAATACGAGATGGAACCGGTAAGCTGCTAACAATCTGGATTCTAGTGACTCTTCTCCAGAGTTTGGAGCTTGGGTACTTCCCTCACGAAACACAGTCCTCCAGCTCAGCACTACGATGGGCAATTAATGTTACCTACGGGTCAGGCCTGAGAAGTTGGCTCTTCTTGCCCAGCCAGAGAGCTTGCCCTGTCTGTTGCCTGGGGCAGCAGGGAGCGCACCAAGGGACAGGAGTCAGGGGCCCTGGGTGCCAACTGTCCTTCTCTACCCACCCATGCAGTGGTCACGGCCCAGGACTTTCTCTTTTGGGGGTGGTTTCTGATCTATGAAAAGGGATTTGGATAAATCTACTCTGCATTATCTTTCTCCTTCTCCTTCTTTTTAGAGAGATTTTTGCTATAGGGCATGTGCACTCATCAGAGAGACAGAAAGCAAGAAATCACTCCCCAGGAGGGATGGCCATGCCGCAGTCCCTCAAACCACGGTTGATTATGTGGGAGTCCAGTGACATAACCATTCAGCCAACTGCTGGTCCCTCTGAGTTCTTTTAAACCTGCCGTAACTTCTCTGAAATGTCTAAGCAGCAACAAATTAAAAATTCTGGTCCCTGGCCTTCTTTTGCTCACCTGATGACTGGGTCCCTCCATCCTGTATATGCAGAAGCCCCGCTCCCTCCTTCTGCCCCAAGCTGGCATGATGCTCTGGCTCAGGAGTCTGGCATCCTGGGCTGCAGGCTTGGCTCTACCACTAATTGACTGTGATTGTCTCTCACCTTTCTGCAACTCTAGGGTAAGAACTATTTCCTTTCATACAGAGAATGCAGTGGGAGACCCCCTGTCCTTAGACCGTCTGTATTAGTGAACTGAGTCCTCACCACAACTTACTGAAGTAGGAACCAGTGTAGGATTACCCCCATTGTACAGATGAAGAAACTGAGGCACAGAGGAGTTAACTAGCTGCCCTGCAGGGTCACAAAGCTTGCAAGTGGTGAAGCCAGATGGAGCACCAGCCAATCTGGCTCCAGAAACACACTCCTAGCTCAATACTTTGGCTGAGAGAGGACTCTGCCTTGCCCAGAGTCTCAAGGTAGACTAAGCTGCTATACATCATAGTTTTCTCTTCGGAAATGTGCTAGTGACTGCCTGTGGGCCTGCCGTGGGACGAAACAAGACGTGAAGTTGGCAGATCGATGATATCCTATCAGTCTACGTGGGGGTTTGTGAACTCTGGTCCTCCCAAGCCCCCTGCCCTAATTCTGGCAGGACCCAAGTGTGCGGGGGTGAGGTGGAGGAGGGAGCCATGCCATCAAGAGGCTTATCAGAGGTCCTGAGTACCAGCTGATCTGATCTGGGACAGATGACAGCTGAGATAAGCTAGAGCTAGGACTGGCCACTGAAACTGCAGGAGTCTGGAGCTCTGTGTGGGGCAGAGATGGAGGAGCTGACTAGGTAGGGAAGAGAAGGGACCTTTTCACTCTTCGGTGCTGGATTTGTAACTCCAGAACAAGGGTGCTCTGAGAGGCAGCGCGAGAGTGGGTGGGTATTTGTGCAGCTTTGTAGTCTGCAGACACTAGTCCATGTTTAGGAAAGGGTCTGCTTATCCCATAGTCAATGGCGAAGCAAAAGCGACCTCTTTTTCTGCCCCTCACTCCTGAGTCCATTTCTCAGTTTCTGAGATTACGTCCTCCCCTTGCTGTGGGGTTGTGAAGTGTGTGTGTGTGTGTGTGTGTGTGTGTGTGTGTGTGTGTTGAGGAAGGTGGGGAATCTATGTTTAGGATTGCAGTAAAAGCTCTCTTGGGATTGCTCCACTGGGTGCCAGGTGCCAGAAGTCTCCAAGTACCGCTAACCCTGCTGTGTCGTTGTCCTAAGTCATCTGAGCTCTCCCAGGACTGGCGTGAGATACGGATGAATCAAAACAACCCCATCTTGGGCCCAGCAGGTGGTGTGGTGGTTAAGGATGCTGGACTCCCACGTGGCTGGCTGCGGTTCAAGTCCTGGACCTGGCAGCCTGTTTTCTCTCTCTCCCTTTCTCTGGTCAAGTTTAAATAAATAAATAAATAAATAAATAAAGTTAAATAAAGTAATTCTAAAAGAAAACAAACATCCTATCTATAGATGCCAACATTTTCACATGCACTGTTTTATTGGCCCTGCAAAGTAGGAGCCTTGGGTTAGATTGTGGGGTGCAGAGGTTGTTGATGTAGATTGGCAGGGGGTATAGTAAGCCTTGGAATGGAGACCAGAGGACGGGGTTCTGCACCTAACTTTGCCACTTGCTGGTCACATGACCTAGGGCAGGTGATTCGGTCTCCCTAGGCCTCAGTTTCTAATTAGTCAAAGGAGATTCTGAGGCCAGCCCTATGGCCTGATGGTTAAGGCAGCCAGTTTCCACATGGCTGATCGTATGTTTGAATCCCAGACTAGCAGGTTGAAAACCATGCTGGGCATGTGCGGGATGGAGAAATGTAGGAAAAGGGATTATGGCATGACCATTCATCATGGAGAATGTCTCCTTCTCTTCCTCTCTCTCTCTGTCTCTCTCTGGCAAGAGCAATGCCCTTTAGCAAAAAAAGGAACCCTGAACTTGGAGGTGACTTGTGCTGTTAAAGGCTCCTCTGTGGGGGTGGGAACTCCACGTAATTGCTGCTCCCCCTGGAGGGAGTGGGCATCTCTCCACCCCCAGGAGGCCCAGGAATGATGGGCAGGGCAGGGCACGGGATGGGAAGTGTGCCCAGGAGGGAGCTGGGAGGCGGGTCCGTCTAGCACTACCTCCCTGCCCGTGCCTGGCTCCTGCTGGCAACCTGAGCCCTTGGCCTCCCAGGCTGATCCTGGAATGTAAACCCCAAGCAAAGCACATTCTTTCCCCGGGTCACCAGCTCTTGGCCCTCAGCAAGGGAAGGCAAGAGCCAGCATTTCTCTTGGCCCTGAATGACACTAGCACTAGCATGGCTGGTCCAAGGGGGCTGTTGTTACAGGCTGGATTAATCTGCTTGTCACCCACAGTTCATAAAAAGCGCAATTCTGACCTGTCGCTTGTGTTCAAGCCTCCGACAAAGGGGAGAGAGAACCCGGTCCCCAAGCCAGGGTTTTAGAAATACCGCATATATCCCGATCCAGTTCCTGTGTTGGTCACAGGCTGCAGACCTGCTCAGAGGAAAAGAGGAGGTAGGCAAAGGGTCCCCTGGGAGCTAGCGCTGGCTCCTTCGCCTCTGACTTTCACGCAGCTTGATGGTTCGCTGCACATTTACATACTGCACCCTAGGCACTGCCTCTACAAGGGCTGATGATAGCCACAGTACTGAGGAGCAGCTCAGAAGTTCTGTGTGTCTGGGGCAGTGTACGTTCACCAGGTACACATGGAGGGGGACATTCCAGCTGGCAAGGACAGGCTGTGCAGGGCAGGGAGTCGAGGACCGAGGAGCACTGGGCAGAGGCAAGGAGGGGAGGCTAGAAGGGCGGGACCTTTGAGAAGGGCCTCCTCAATTCCTCAATATCAGGAGGGAAGGAGAGAGCAAGAGAATGAGAGCGACAAGCACACTCCACAGGGCCTGGTCACGCCATGATCCCCTTTCTCTAGCCCTCCTGCCTGCCAGGACCCTGGCACCATACAAGTACCCAGTGTGTTTTCAGCCGAGCGGACCACAGACTCGAACTGCAGTCAGCACGTGGTTTCCAGCTCTGCAGTCCAGTGTGCTACTGACTATGCCACAGAGGCTGGACCATCACTGTTTTTGAGACTATCAGTTACTACAATTAGGACCAAGGCCCATTTTCTTTGTAAGTTTATTTATTTCTTCCACAAGCTAGAAAGACAGACAGAGAAAGAGAGGCAGCACTTCCAACAGCGTCTTAATGCTGAGAGCCACGCCCAGCCCCAGCCAGCCCTGGCTCATGGGCATGTTTGTGGCTGGCATGCTCAGGAAGGTCTCCACACATGAACCCATAACTTTCCCATGTGGGCTGGTTTACAAAGGTCACATTACCACATGTCACTGCCTGGCCGCCATCAAGGCCCACTTCCTGTGGAACGGCAGACAAGCTGCCTCAAAGTCTTCATCTCATCCAACAAGGAGGAGGGCAGGGTGGGCTGTGGGGACATTGACTGGGGCCTTAGGGGAGGGTCCCTAGGCCTGTGGGCCACGTCCTCTCTCTCACAGCTGTTGAGAGAGGACTCTGAACAGACCATTAGAGCCCTGGCAGGCTAGAAAGCCATCCACTGCCAGCCTCATGCTCCTCCCTGGCCCCTCCATCCATGGAGCAGGCCTTGCCAAATTGCTGACAGGCTTCTCCCCGAGCCACCAAGAAAACCCATCGACTCTGAGGCCAGCAAGTGGTGTGGTAGTTAAGGCGGCTGGATCCCGCAGAGCCCACTGTGCAGTTCAAGTCCTAGACCCAGTGACTCAGCAGAGAGCAGCTTCAGCCCTGCACTGTTGTCACAGGTCCTGGGGTCTCATCTGACCTTCCAGAGCTGACTGTACCCCTAATGTCCCAACCACCTAAAAAACGCCCCAGTCCTGTCCACAGATATGAGGTCACTTATGCACTTGGAAGGATGTTCCCTGCCCACAAGTCTTGGCTTCCATTTGGAGAGGGTGGAGGCACCCTGTGCATAAACATCTGTCTTGGGTAGGGGATTGGGGGTGGGGTGAGAGGGGTCAATGCCAAATGGAAGTGGAACCAGGAGCCCCTAGCAGGGTGTCTTTTGAACCACTCCCCAGAACATGCTGGTCCACCCTTCATCAGCTCTGCAGCACCTGCAGTTCTTTTGTAACAGGGTCTGAACTGAACCAGCGGGCTCCAGAGCAGTAGGGACGGTTTCTTCTGTCTAGTCACTAGGGGGCACCAGCGGCCACAGGATGCCATTAGCCCTGAGCGGGAAGGACATGCTGGGCCAGCAGGTGGCAGTGCCCTTCTGGGACCCAAGTCAGGAAGAAGTCTGAGTACTCAGAGAAGGGAAAAAAAGCCCCTATCTCTAAAGACTCATGTTTGTTAGTCCTTGAAGATCCAGCTGCAGGTGTCACCCCTACACACGCCCACACGCACACAGCAGGAGGTTCCCTCTAAGCTCCCAGATCCAGGTAGATCCTCCTCTGCTCCCACCTCCGTGAGAAATACCAATGCCGTCAAGTGGTGTTACCTACTCCTCCACAACCCTTCAGGCCAGGTGTTTGATTTGTCTCTGTATCCACAGCGCTAGCACAGCTTTTAAAAATAACTGGGAATCAGAAAGAGGTGCCACACAAGCGAAAAGGAGCACTCTTCAAGTGTTGTTTTTTTTTTTTTTTAAGTCAGTGAGCAATTCCCTTTCTGCTTTGCATAAGACAAAAATGAGCTTAAGCTGAATGAGCTGGGGCTAGCGAATGAGAACGAGTAATCTGAGGAAGAAAACTGAATGAATGCAACCTTTTCTTCACACACACATGGAGTCTCAACGCCAAAGGAGGAAAATATGCTGGTTTTCAGAGTGGGGTGACTGGAATGGTTGTGAGAAGGTGGAACTCTTGAGAGGGAGCAGCCAAGCACAGATGGTCCTTGGGACCCTATTTAGCCTGAGATGCTGGAGGGATTTTTTTCCACGGGGTCCCTGTACCCATCAAGACACCCTTCTATCGCACCCCAGAGCAGGGTGCAGAGACAGGAATATAAATTTTAATCATTGTGCTGCTGCAATTAACCAGAGTGCAAGGAATCCATCCTTGGTGGATTTGATGCCACAGTGTAGATGAGAAGGTCTCACACAGAAACACGCTAGGGGGTCTACAGTGACAAAAGGCCAGGCCTCTGGTGAGGAGGGGGTGGTAGGAGGCAGACTGGAATGGGGAGGTGTGGGGAGCAGACCCAGGGCTGTGAGTCTGCTCCTTCCCCCTCATCACACGCCCAGCGAGGACCCCAGGAAGGAGGAGTCCTCCATGCCAGGGCTGATGGCTGGACTGTCCGCATGAGCTCAACCTCCTTGCCAGGGCAGCGGCCTCCAACTTCAGTGCAATTCCTGCCGAGGTCCAGGGCAGGCCCGCAACTGGCCACCAAAGGCTGGGGTGTGCAGACCAAAGGAGAGGAAAGAGATGGAAGCCCCTCCCACACCCAGGTCCTCCATTTTTCATCCCAAGAAATTCTCCAACAGTTCAGAGTCAGGGAAAGGATAGCAACAGCGCTCGTCCTCGGGGTCAGAATTGCCCCCCACCTCCTGAAGTGTGGGGAAGCAGACCTTCCTGGAGGGAGGCAGGACATATTCCGGTGCCTTTCTGTGCCTGAGCAGCAAGTGGGGCTCTCCCCAGGGACAGCTCAGCTCCACCCATCGGCTGCTGGAGTCCTCTGCACTTTGTCCAGTTTTCTGGGTTTGAAGGTGGTGGTGGGTCACTTCAAGACCCAGACTGTGACCCTCTGGCTGCTAGCAGAAGCTGGCCTCCTGGGAAGGAGTCCAGACTACTTTGACAAGACTGTCCTTCAGGTGGAGAGTGGAGTGGGACAGTCCGGGCCAAAGGTGCTGGGCCCAAGGACAGCTAGGAGTCCAAGACGCAAAGGGCTTCCACCGCGTCGCTCAGACCCTGGTTGACACCGCCCACGGCCAGGAGGCAGTTCTTGACCACAATGCTGGAGCAGGCACAGCGGGGCGTGGGCATGGCAGGGAGGGCCTCCCACTTGTCCTTGCCGGGGTGGAATGCTTCCGCTGTCTCCAGGACAGTGGGCTGGTTTCCTGAAAGCACCGAGGGGAGCAGACCTTACAGAGGAGCCCACAGTCATGCACAGTCAGCCTGCCTCCTGCCTTCCCCTGGGGGCCCAAGAGCAGAAGTTAAGCCACCTCAGCTTCCAGGGCACAGGGTCGCTTCCCCTCCCTACGTGGCCCATGGCTCTTGGCATGTGGCCACTTCGGGGCAAACTTTTTTTCCCTACCCCTCACTTCTCCCACCTCCCTCCTGCCTGCTTCTTACTGAAAAAGCTACTCACATGGTTTTGCTCACCTGGTCCTTTCCTGCATGAAGAAAATGGGGGTTTGTCACACTGAATAAACTCAGGGTGTCTGGAAGCCTGTTGCCTTCTCTCTCTCTCTGGATGGTGGTGGGCCTTTCACCCTTAAAATCCTTCCTTCAAAATACTAATAATCTCTGGGAGGCTTAATATACCAGTACTGAACCCAGTAGATCTGATTTACTAAGGTTGTTCCTATTCCTATTGGGATCCAGGAGGGAAACGGGCCCCTCTGTACTCTACCTCCTCGTACTCCTGGATAGGGCCCAGGGACCGGTTCTCAGCCAGCCTGCATTACAGTTATCAGTATGTCCCTTGGTCTCTCTGGGCCTCAGTTATCCTATATAAGAGGACAAAGAGACCACAGCCTGGCCCATTTGTGGAGGTAAGTCCAGGCTGGGAGGAGGGGAATTAAGAATTCTCTGGAATTAGACAGTAGGCAGGTGGTGTGCGGGGACCATGCCCTCTCCTACACATGCCAAGTGCCTGGGATGCACCGAGCACAGTGTCACTAGTTCGGAAGCTCCCGCCTTACCAAGTCCCCCAGCCACTATGACTCGTCCACTCAGGGCCCCAGCCACAAAGTCTGCCCGTCGCTTCTTGAGGAAGAATGAGCGCTCCATCTTCAACCAGCCCCCTAGAGGCCATGGAAAACAGCAGGACAAAGAGAATGAGATGCTGCCCACCACCCCCAAATACGGACTGGGCCCCAAACTGCTCTCACCCTGGGTAGCTTCTCCACCCCATTTACCCCCTGTGCTCAGGGCACTCACGGATCCCCTAAAAGGAATCACCTTGCCCTGCTTCTGTTCCCGCAGTTCTAAGCTGGGAAGGAGGTTATTACGGGCAGGGCGTGCAGGAGCCAGGATCCTCTTTCTCCAACAGAAAAAGGTCAGATATCTCACTCCCTGCCCTGGTCATGCATGGCTATTGAAGGGAAATAGGTAGGAGAGGCTTTGACAGAACCGCCAACCAACCAGAGCAGAGCTCTAGGCAGATGAAAGCATGCGATGCCCGGAGTAGCCGAGTGCAGAGGGGGCGTTAGGACTCTGGAAAGGCTTGCCCAGCGTAGTAAGTGGCCCTGGGTAGATAGGTGGGATGAGGAGGGCAGCCAGGGCTTCGGTCGGGGAACTCCGGAGAGCAGGACAGGGGGCTGGCTCCTGGCTCACCCTGCTCCATGTCGAACACATCCATGGTCCGCAGGAACTTGGGCTGCCGGTAGAGCCGACCCTGCCGCAGACCGCCCAGGCTGTACAAGCGGCTGTCCAGGGTCACGAAGCTGGAGAAAGCCCGCTTGCAGGGGATGTTGGGGAACTTGGTCCAGGAGCGAGTCTCGATGTCGAAGACCTCAAAGGCATTGACCGCGTACTTGGACTGTCTTCCCCCTGGAGGCCGGAGCAAGGTGGGGGTGGGCAGAAGATTGAGTCCCTGAGGCCAGACCTGGGTTTCTCCTGTCTGCTCCCCATCCTAGAGGAGCACTCCATGGGCAGGTGATTATCCCGTGTCAAGGAGATGCTCAGCCACAGCCCTGCCTCCCACGGGAACTGAAACAAGGGAGCAAAGAGGACTGAAGAGGAAGAGTAACCATCCTTACCCAGTACGTAGATCTTTGAGCCTCGGAGGAAGGAGGTGGCAGCATATCTCGGGGTGGGCATGGGTGCTAGCGATACCCACATGTCCTTGAGCATGTCGTAGTGCTGGAGGTGGCTGTGCGGACGGAGGTCCAGGCCCATCCCGCCTGCTGCGTACACCCGATAATCTATGGAGAAGGGCCACACATACCGCAGGCTCAGCTCCCAGACGCCAGGAGGCAGGCCCACCAGCACCCATCACCAAGCAGGGCCAGGCCAAGTTCCCAACACCGCTCTGCCATGCCAGCCATATCGATGTCAGTGTGGCTGAGAGCATCTGTCAAAGTCCCTGTCACACTGAGCCACCTGGGTCTTCCTGAAGCCACGGCAGGGCCACATGCCTCAGCCTGCCTTGGGGTCCAGCTCTCAGCTGCACCCAAAGCACTAAGTCCTACACAGGGTGGACTGCGGTGCGGCCTAGGCCTAGATAAGCCTTGCAACTCTTGTCTCCTCTTCTGGGCAGCCAGAGGGGAAGCCAAAGAGTATCTTCTATCTTCTTTTTTTTTTTTATTTTTAAAGAATTACTTTATTTAAATTTATTCATCATCGTTATTATTTTAATTTGACTAGAGAGAAACAGAGGCAGACAGAGAGAGAGGGAACGTGAGAAAGCAAGCCACCAGATCCAGGACTTGAACCGAGGTTGGCCACGGGGGAGTCCAGTACATTTAACCACCACACTACCTGCTGGCCCCCTATCTCCTTTTACTTAGTTATTTTAAATGGGCAGAATATACAATTATGTTTTTATCAAGCACAACATGAGGTTTTAGGTATACAACCATCATGGAATGGTTAAGTCTAGCGAATTCACAAATGCGCGATTACGTCACATAATTATCAGCAGGAGTCTTCCTGGGACAGCCTCCAGGGCTGGCCTGTTCCCCAGACTGGAATTCTCCAGGTATAGCAGGGGCTTTCAGAAATGAGGTGAGCCCTGCTGTCACTGGCCTTGTGGGACACTGGACTGCCACTGATCCTCTTTTTGTCTGCACCCCATGGGGGATGTCATCCTCCAGCCGAAATCAGGAGGCTTGTTCACCTCAGGAGGCAGCCTGTACTAATGAGATGGGGAAGGGGTGAAGAGGGTGAGGCTTTGAAAGAGAAAGAACAGGCCCCTTTAAGAAACTGCTGAGGCAATGCGCTGGGTCCCCTCGCCCTCTCTACTGCTCCTGGCTGTGGGTAGCCTTTGGAAGGACACACACTGCACAAGGCTGAGAAGGGCCCCTGTTTCCCTGGGCCTCACCCAGCATCTTCTGGGACCGTCGGGTAAATGGGGCCCCCACAGGGCCCTCTCTTCCTCAGGATCCCATGCCTGCCTGGGTTTCTGCTTCCTAGCAGCCAGTCCTCACAGCTTCTGGCTCTAAAAGATCTTTACTCTTCAAGGTTATCCAGAAATGAGCACTACTTCCCCCTCCTTTCCAATCTTACCGAAGTAAACAAACCAGAGCCAACCTTAGCCTGAGGTCAGGAGACGGGCCTCACACAGGCTCCAACCCTCCCATGCTGTGTCAGCTGCAGCACCTGCCCCCGACAAGTCCACGCCACACTACCCTCCACGCCAGTTCTTACACATCCTTGTCGATTTCCTGGGTGTCCCTGGACTGCACTGCTGGGCCGAGTGCACCAGTCCGTCTGACTGAAGGGACCTCCACTACCCTACTGTCACGTGTTACTGAAATAATCTGTCTCCTTCAACAGATTGCAGGGCCTTGAGAATCTTAATATGTAGCCCCAGAACCTGGTACCATGCCTGGCACACAACACAGGCATGTGAAAGCTTATGAAACCAGTTGTTGAATCCATCTGATGCCCTCGTTGAGAACACAGAGTCAACTATCACGTCCTCGCTGCGGAACCTCAGACCAGTGAGTTAACTTCCCTGGGCCTTACACTCCTCCCTAAAATGAGGATAGTAACACTGCTTCAGTGGACGGATGTAAGGATCGAAGGGAAAGCACCGGTGGTAAGGACCCGATACAAGTTCACTCTTAATATTTCAGCACCATTTATTGAGGCCTGAGGATGAAGAGGTACTCCTTTTTTTTTCAATAATTTTTTTTCAACTTTATTTACTTATTTTTTTTAATTTGCCAGAGAGGGACAAAGTGAGAGAGAGAGAAAATGAGAAAGCAAGCTACTAGGTCTGGGACTCAAACCGAGGTTGGCCATGTGGGAGTCCAGCACCCTTAATCGCCATGCCACCCACCGGCCCTGTTCCTCATAGGTCTCCAGGCCCTCCATCTTTCTACACTGGGAGGTGGTGGAAGACCCACTGGACCCCCCTGCCCTGTGGGATTCTGGACTAGAGCTTCTGTCTCGTCACCATTACAGTCAGACCTTTCCTTCCTCCTGGGGTCTAGCATCTGCCCAGAGTGCTTAAGAAGTACAGGTTTAGGGGGCCGGTAGGTGGCATGGTAGTTAAGGTGTTGGACTCCCACATGGCTGACTACAGTCCCAGTCCTGGACCTGGAGGCTTGCTTTCTCACTCTCTCTGGCCAAACTGAGAATAATAATAAATGGGTAAAGTTAAATAAAGACTTCTTTAAAAGAAGAAAGAAAGAAAGAAAGAAAGAAAGAAAGAAAGAAAGAAAGAAAGAAAGAAAGAAAGAAAGAAAGAAAGAAAGAGAAAGAAAGAAAGAAGGGAGGGAGGGAGGGAGGGAGGGAAGAAGAAGGGACAGAGGGAGGGAGAGAAGGAGGAAGGGAGGGAGGAAGGGATACTGGTTTGGGGCCAGCAGATGGCATGGTGGTTAAGGTGCTGGACTCCCACATGGCCAATTCAGTTTGGGTCCTGAACCCAATGGCTTGAAAATAACACCAGGCACGTTTGTGAGTGTCCCAAATCCCAAGGAGAATAGAGGAGAAGGGACTGGGGCATGGACATCCCTCCCAAGAGTGACTTCTCATTTTCCCTCTCTCTGTCTCTCTCCAGCGAGTGCACGCACCCTATGGCAAAAACCTAAAATATAATATAATACATACACACAGGTTCCTGCTCTGCAGCAGCTAGGACAGTAGCTTTGAGAAAGTGAAGTGAGACTCTTCAAACCACGTGGGCAGCACATGTTTGGGAAGACCTTGGAGAAGCTCCTGGGAAGGTGCTGCAGAACAGCCCTCCAGCGTGGAGGACATGCTGGTCCCCACCTTACATCTCGGAGACTGGGAGGCAGCTAAGGGTGGGAAGGGGCTCTGGAATCAGGTCCCAAAGCCGCTCTAGTGACACCTGATGATGGCACAAGGACAGAGTGACCATCCTCAGGACGCCAAGTAGGTATCTGCAGGCAGAGGCACCTGCAGATTTCAAGGGGGGAGTTGGAGGGGGTGCTCGTCATCCTGCAGTGGCCGCGGTCTGCAGACCTTGCGCTGAACCTCCCCGATGGAATTACCAGAGCCTCAGTTTTCCCATCTGCAGAGTAGGGCCACACAGGTCCCTCGTTTTAGTGTCTATTGCACAGGTCGAAGGAGATCAGGCACGTCGGAGGGCCCCACATCAGTGTTGGTCTCCACCCCTTTCCCCTGTAGGTCCCCACCCCCTCCTCTCCCCCAACCTGGCCCTGTCCCACTTGCCTTTGGCCGTGACAGAAATGCCCATGGCAGGCTCGCGCAGCACACTCCTCTTCTTCCACTTGCCCTCGTCAATATTATACATCTCCACGACCTTCAGGGGCAGCTGGCTGGTGCCCACACCCCCGATCACCATGATCCGCTTCCCCAGCGCCGTGACAGCCACCCCGGCTCGGGCTGTCGGGAGGGGGGGCAGGGCTGTCCACTGGTCGGCTTCAGGGGAGTAGACCTCAAACGGTGGGCGTCCCAGCCTCCGATGGCATAGACCTGGCCGCCGGTCTCCAGCAGGGAGCAGTAGACCCGGCGGCTGGGCAGCGGCGCCAGGCGCTTCCATTGGAAGTCCTTGGTGTTAGGCACCTCCATGGCCGCCCCGGGGGCCCCGCCGGCAGTACCCCAGCGCCCGCGGAGCACCAAGGCGCCGGGGGTGGTGCGAACTGGGGGTTCGCGGGCTACTTGGCGCCGGTTGCCGGGTCCCCTGGCGCCGCCTCCATCTCGCTGCCGTGCGCCAGGTCCCGCCCGACGCCAACCAGCGGTTCACGGTCCCTCAAGTCTCAGCGGTCCGGCGGCGTCCACGCCTGGCCCTGCGGGAGGAACCGGGCGAATCAAGGGCAGCCAGGGCCACGCGACCGCTCTGCCACTGGGCGCACCGGCGGGGTGCTGAGCCCCCCGCCAACCTTAATGAGGG